TCTATCAGTTCATCAAAAAGTTCAAGTGTGGTTTACATGTTCCCTTCTTCATAGTTTTAATGAACAAAAATATGTCTTTATCTGTTGACAACCCTTTCCTTCTCATCTCTTGGAAAATTTCCGTTGCCTCACTGAATTTTTTCCTCTTGATAAAACCCTTTATCAGAGCATAGTACCAACTAGCCGTAAGATCATAACCCTTATCCATCGTTTCTCTGCCTAAGAACCATGCCTGTTTCATATTCCTTGCTTTACAATGCCATTGTATCAAAATGTTATAGGAGTTGGCATCTCGTATCACTCCTTGCGCATACATGCCTTTCCACATTGCAGCTGCAGTGCGCAGTACTGTTTAATAAGATAATTATACGTCGTCGAGTTAGGTGTTATACATTTTTCCAACATCCATTGTAGTAACTTCTCACCATCTTTAAACATAATTATACGTCATCACGTTAGATGTTATACCTTTTCCCAACATCCATTGTAGTAACTTCTCACCATCTTCCAGCAGTCCAGACATGCAAAACCCGTTCATCAGCACATTGAACGTAACGAGCTTCAGTTGAATTCCTTTATCCAACATCTTCCTCAGATGCTCACGAGCCTTATCCATCTCCCCCGTCTTACAGTACGCATAAATTAGAGTGGTGTATGTAATCACATTGGGATGAAGCCCCTCAATCTCCATATCATTCATCAGTTTAATAGCTTGTGCGATGTTTCCTGATTTACAGAGCCCGTTAACAAGAGAGTAGTAGGTAAAGATGTTTGGTTGGAATCCCCTGCCACACATTTTGTGAAGAAGCTCATTTGTTGTATCTACCTCCCCGCATTTACAAAGGCCGTCGGCAAGTGCAGTGTAAGTGACAACATTCGGTATAAGCCCCATCTGCACCATCTGGTTATGGAGGGCAAAGGCCTCTTTCATTTCACCTGCCTAGCAATAACCGTCAATAAGTGCTGTGTATGTAACTTCATCGGGTTCCAACCCAGTACCAAGCATTTCCTGAAAGACGGTACGAGCTTCCGTCATCTTTCCAGCTCGACAAAACCCACAGATTATAGATGTATAAGTTAATAAATCAGGCCTAAATATTTTACCATGAATCTCATTTAGCAACCTTTTCACGGAATCAGTATTCCCTAGCTTGCAGAAACCGTCTATGAGAGTCGTGTATACCACAATATCAGGGGGTATTCCCTGGTTCAACGTCTCTCTGAAAACCTTCTCTGCTTCAGCTACCTTACCAGTCTTGCACAGTACATAAATTATGCTGCTATAGGTATAAGGATTAGGATTTAATGCTTTAGTTTGTATTTCGTCAACGAGCCATAACACCATTTGCAGCTTTCATGTATGACAATATCCATTAATTATGGTGCTATATGTTACAACATCAGGAATACAGGCCTTCAACTTCATCTGCAAGAGTAAACTATGAGCTTCTTTCATTTTCCCTAATTTGCAGAGTGAGTGAATGATAATATTATACGACATGGTATTCCAACAGATGCCGACATCAGGAAGTTCAATGAAAACCTTTACTGCCCTCCAAAGCCCATCAAAATGGTCTTTTAATTTACTAAGATATACGTTTAAAGAATCAACGGAGATAACCAACCCATAATTTAACATTTTGTCAAAGAGCTTCTTTCGTTCATCAAGCAACCCGGCTTCAACAAGAATTTGAAAAAAACACATCAAACACATTCGGATCTGAACCCCAGTCCTTGTAAGTGTAAATTAAACGCTCAAGGAAGCAGCTGAATGCGAGACGGATATCCAAATCAGGTTTTGACCAGAAGTCGTGAATAAGTTGATGAGCCATTTTCAAATCTTTTGAAGCTACAGCAATTTGGACAATGATGCAACGGGCTTCAAATGTCGGGTCTCTACGCAAGCATGCCCACTCAAAGAAATCCAAAACAAGTCCATAATCATCCTTAATGGTCATCAAAACCCACATCAAATGATCGGATCTAAATTTGGATTCGTAAGGCTTCAGAACACGAAAGAGCGGCTCAGAACGGCTCAGAACGGCGTAGTTTTATTGCATTTGAGATTTGACGCACAAGTTCTGAGTCCTTGATGGTAGGTTTCTTTGGGAAATAATCGGGAAAAGGCCTGGTATTGGCAGAGACAGCTAACGTGTTCATCTTTGCAGGAAAAACCCATCATGAGAACTTTTGAGGATCCTTGTTCAACAACACAGCAATTCTTCTCCATGCAGAAGAAATAGAATGAAAGAACTTTCTCATCACACCATCGTTCAAAGAACGCAAATTATCATAGTCGGTAATTGTAGCAATTCAGTCAAACCACAGTTTCAGCAATATTTTATCATCACTAAATGCTAAATGAGATCAAATGCCCAAAAAATCATCACCAGGCAACACGTTAAATAAATTTCTACAAGTTCGTCACTCTTCTCATTCCAGCTAAACTTTGTACACAAACCATATGTTGATTTGGAGTCTAATTCAATAGCTAAACAACACATGAGTCGGTTCATCACCAGCCTAATTATTCAGAAAATAACTCGGAAAAATGTTGGTTCACCTCTCTGAATTGGGCAATCAATAAACATATCTGATGATTTTGGAGTTACAGAAAAAAGAATGTACCTGAAATTTCTCCTTTCAGCAAAGCATTTTAAATCCGCTACTCGAATGAGTTTTAAAATAAATACGAAAAATTTAATACTTCATCTACTTAACTAATGGCGCCTATTCAATCACCTCTAAAATGCCGTCATGCTGAATAAATATACCATCAATTTTTATTGTTCCAAAAGGGAAAGAATTTAAAACAACGTATTAAAGAAAGGAGCTGATTTCAACAGCTTAAAGAATATATAAATTTTTCTACATCCATATGAATAATTCTCTCATAGGCAATTAATCGAACATCAGGAAAGCTAACTTTAGATTCTTTACCAAGAACATTCCAACGCAAAACAACAATTCCTATGGCTCTATCATCTCATTTGAATCCACAGAAAAAGCCAATGAACGGATGGAACCGCATTTTGTTGCGGATTTCAGAGAACACTTCAATGAAGAAAAAAATGATGGCACAGAAAAGAAAACAAAAAACAAAACCATTAACAGGAAAGGGTAAAAGGGAGATACCATGAATTCGAACAAAATCATTAGCAACCTGCTTTCAATTGGTTCCGTAGTTCCAAAAGAGGCACTGAGATTTTGCTTCGGCTGCTCGCCTAGTGAACTAGAAGATACCAAATTTCAGTTGCTACTTGAAACAGAGCTTCACAGTCGTTTTTGGGCTTCATTATGATTTTCTTTAGGTATCTATTGGGCTTTTATATTTTTCAACAATTTAGAGTTTTCTTTCTTGATTGGGCCATGTTTCATCAAATTATCGTTTTTTGAGTACTTTGTTTGGACGAGCCTAGGTGACCGAGCGACTCGTTCGTTAGTACGTTATATACCATGACCGAGCCAAGGTCATAGTTCTCTAGTTTTTGCCAAAACAATGAAGCTAGAACAGTACTCTTTCTTCACTCTTTTCCCCTTGATCTCTTTGATGTTTCTTCCCTCCCTGATCTAATCTCATGCCTGCAAAAGAACTTGTGGCAATCTCCCGATGAAGTACCCGTTCAGAAGTGGCCTCGGCTACGGTGATCCATGCTTTCAGCTATATGCAACTTGTAACCAACAAACACTCACCTTCAGAACACAAACCTGCAGCTATCCCACAAACCGGCATCTCAGATCCTTCAATGTCAACTTGCTTTTCGTCTCACCCGAGCAAAGGCTTCGGCCTAGACTTGGATGCACCCTTCTCTTTCGCGGACGATAGCATCTTCACCCTCCACTGCTAACCCACTTTGTCACCCATTTGTAGTTACTTGTATTCTTGCAGGGCAATCAGCATGTTCAATTTCCCGATATCCCCATGTTGCGTTTACACACTGGTCTGGTCGATATCGGCCCATCATTCGAATTCGATTTGTTGGCCAAGAATCAAACCACGATAACTGGAAGTAGGGAATTTTGCTCAAGTATAACTTTGATGTGTATAACGACTATCCGATTGTGTACACTGGAAACTACAATTCATTTATCTGCAACTGTCTTAATGGTGTAAACACCACATCTACTTGTTACTTTGTGTCATCGTTTAATAATGGTTTGACGCTACTCCCACTGCAAACAGGTATTTGTTCCATATTTGCATCCACAACATTATTTTTTTCAGGTCCGATATTGAATATCGATCACTCGAACTAAGATTCGATAACGGAATCTTAAATGGTTGCAGGAACTTTGTTGATGTATCTTCTGGCATGGTACTGCTATAGGACACCAAGCAGAGAAGGGCAAACTCCAAATTCCAAAATGAATTAAAGGTTCAAGTTTGATTGGTCCATCGTTATCAATATCACATCAAATATGTGCTAACACACAAGCCATGTCAATGTTTGATCGATCCATGATTTTCTCTAATATCAGTATCAATTTTATCACATTGCTTCTATTTTAAAAGTACAAGGACTTGATTGGTCCAAGGTTTAGTAGAGGGATTTATTTGCTTACTTAGTGATAATAGGGGGACTGCCCGGGCACTTTCACCCTTTATCATCTTTGGGATGAAGTAACTTTGCATTTGATTTGTACAGCAGGGAGTGTATGTGTAAAAGTGGTTAAAATTGAGGTTAATGTGTAACTAAAAAATCAAGTTCTCTCATGGAATAAGATTCACTGTTATCCAACTAAAAGGGAATCGCTTTCACAATAAATGCCATAAAAAAAATTCATGAATGCATTATGACATGTAATCTTATATTTAACTTTTAATTTTTTAATCTCAGCTATCAATTTATATACAAATATATATCAGCAAAAAATAGCAGCAGGATTTAAAACCACCTAAAATTATCACTTTACGTTTACTCTCTATTCCCAGCCTAATTACAAAGTCGGAGCTGTTCATATATGCTCACCATGTTGATTTCTTTATCATCATTGAAGGGGAAATGGAAGAGATGGAGTAAGAAATGCCCCTCGTTTATACAGAGATCTACCATGACCGCAAAATTTGTTCTCTCTGTTTACCTTACTCGAACTTGTAAGTGAAAACTATTTTCTATTAATTTCTTTCTTCAATGGCTGTCATTTCATGTTGCAACATTGGGGCTTTCCTTGCTTCTGTAATTTATCCCACATGCATATCATCTGTCTCGGAGATTGGTAATGAGCGGTGTAATAATCCTCTATGCATCCGAACTGGCAAAACTTCGTGCTATGTTGATACTCCACTGCTTTCCAACTGTTGAATTTTTCCACCCACATCCCCATGCTCACATCTTCCATCTTGAATAGCTGCAACATGTGCTCGAATGTTTTTACCAAATGACAATCGAATCCCCGATGTTATTTAACAACCATGCACATGGGATGAAGCACGGGTCAAGAGTAGAATGAATGAACAAATAAATAGAGATGACTTACTCGCAACTTGTGTTTCTCAAACTCATCTACGATAAACTGTGCAATGTCAGATGAGAATATGTACCCTGGACCATTCGCATAGGGAGGATATTCTTCTTCTGGCCATTCCTTGAGACAGAGAAAAACAAAGGCCAGCAGATGTCAAGAACTGATGATTTTATATCATTTTTGCGAATCGTTGTTCGCTCAGATGAATACATAGGAAGTTCTTTAGTAGACAGAAATTCTTTAAACAGTGAATCACAGGAAGGAAAGCATGTTTAGAGCTATCTACAACTTAATTTAACTCATCTTTAAAATCTAAACCAGTTTCCATTGATCATTAGAAAAAAAAAAGTTTATCATGCCACTAAAGTATTTACTAATCACAAATAGACTTGTCAAAGCCAAACTAAAGAAGATATTGCATGATATATCACAGAATAAATATATATCATGAATTTATACTGGATGCTCCGTTATTTTATGAATTGATAGCTATGTGGCAAAGTATATCAAAATACAAATAATGATTAAGATGAAGTGATGAAGATAAGAAAGCAAATGTAAAAGAATAAGTTGTTCAAATCAAATTCCACTGAAATTCGCTAAATTCAACAGATAGCACACACCTCATACGTTACTGCCCATTTACCGTCTCGTAGGGGTTTGTGGTAGTAATTTATATTTCCTATATACAGGCTTTTATTTCCAAGCGTCTTTGCTTCCTTAATCACAGGGTCCACCCGGACAAATGTATCATCATCACACTTCATAATGTATTTTGCAGCCACCGTACGGACCTGTGAACAATTAGATACGATATAAAAGTAGCTCTTTTAACAACTAAAGAACAATATTTATTTAATTATATATACACATATGACAAATTTTCAGCAACGGGAAAAGTAAGCAACATAATATCGTTCGATCACTCACCCCATATTCACAGATGGCAACTGTTTTAAGTACAACTAGGTCATAGTTATCCATGTAAGGAACTATAACAATATCACCAAAATATTCTGCTTCCTTCTTCAGTTCCACATTTATATCCTTTCTTCCATTCTAAAAAGAAAAAGGGTGTAAATATATCAGGAAAAGGAGTTTTCCAAAGGAATTAACTCATGCCTGCTTTATCCACCCTTACCAGTGCTACGAAAAAACGAGCAACTACTTTTGAAGACTTTAATAAGTTATGCTGCATCCAGGACTTTCTCACAGCCATCCTCTCTGCAAAATGATTGCCAGCAGAAAGGATTCCGATAAAAAGCTCTACATTTCCACCGGGAAGTGGAGGTGCCTTCCATTTACTCAACCTCTCAAGATGTTTTTGTGGAGCAAAACTTGGATGAGAAGTGGACAAGGAAGCAGCAAATACGGAGTGAACATCAAGGTCACCCTTTAGAGATAGCCCAGTAGCATCCTCAAGCAAAAATCCCTGCATATGTCATTAGGATTTTAAAGATGGGTTCTATATTCATCATATAGATAAGCTAACAACAAAGAGGTTACTTACAGTTCGATACGGGAATGAGGTAACATGACGCCCATTGACATTGATATGATAACCCTCCAATCCAGCACTCAATGTGAGAACAAATAACTTTCCCTCCATAAAAGGGTACGGCCAATCAAATGCGACCTTATTCTTTCGGCCTATCAATCTTTTCAACCACCATGTAGCCTTTGAGTTTTCGGAGCCATTGTCATCATCTCGAATCCATTTCTCGCACTTCACTTGTCCATCAACTACCCCACCCAAAAAAAAAAAAAAAAAGAGGTAAACAATCAGAATATATATAATGGCTCATATAATGAATTAATGAGGCTGAATTTCTCAAATAATGCAGTTGAAAAAAAAATTTGTTCGAATAAGGCACTCTCGAAATTATTTCGTGAAATAGGGTGAATGCATTGGAGTCCAAGCGACTTACATATAAATTTCGGGGAGATGCATGGAGTGCAATGTGTCTCCCATATTTTTTTATGTGAATGTACAAAGGGTAAATTACACAATTAGTCATTCAACTTTATTCTCTCTCCAAATTTACTCATTGTACTTTTAATTTTTTCAATTTAATCACTCAATTTCAATTAAATGCAACTACACTGTTTTGGACAACAAATTCAATTAGAAATTATATAAGCACGATGTTGATTTCTTTAGTACACAAATTCAATGCTTGGACACCAAAAAAAATTACCCTTTGTACATTTATGAAAAAGTGAAAAAATTACCCTTTAGTACACAAGTTGAGTGATTAAATTGAAAAAAATTAATTCATCAATGTACAAAGGGTAAATTACACAATTAATCATTCAACTTTATTCTCTCTCCAAATTTACTCATTGTACTTTTAATTTTTTCAATTTAATCACTCAACTTTTGTTTTACTCCTATTTTGATCACTCATCGGCCATTGTTCAAGTTGTTACATGGAAGCCAATTTGATCCATCAACTCTAGCATTGAATTTGTGTACTAAAGAAACCAACATCATGCTTACATAATTTCTAATTGAAATTGTTGTCCAAAACAACACAGTTGCATTTAATTAATTTATTTTTATTATACCCTAAATTAGTGGGGGGTCATAACTCCCACTTAAACCCAATTTCAATTAAAAATTATGTGAGCACGATGTTGGTTTCTTTATTACACAAATTCAATGCTAGAGCTGATGGATCATATTATCTTCCATATAATAACTTGAACAATGGTCGATGAGTGGTCAAAATAGGAGTAAAACAATCCATGTCATTGTAGAGTGATCAAAATAGGAGTAAAATAAAAGTTGAGTGATTAAATTGAAAAAATTAAAAGTACAATGAGTGAATTTGGAGAGAGAGTAAAGTTGAATGATTAATTGTATAATTTACCATTTGTAGTGAAAAAATACTTGGACTCCAATGCGTCTTAGGGTAAATAATTTCGTGCCCTATTCGAACAAATTTTTTTTAACTGTATTATTTGAGAAATTCAGCCAATTAATGATATAAGTAACTTTTAAACTACCCCATCCTTGCAAGATCATAAAGCAACACCATAACCAACTTCACTACAAACTAACCACCGACAATTATTACCAAATTCATAGAATTTTTTCAACCTACATTCTCCATTTACTTGGTCAGCATTCAAACAAATGCACTAAAAATTATATATGAAAATCATTCAAAAGAAAGGTAACGGGTAACCTGTTTCCTCATCAGCTCTAGACTTCCACCCTTCGCACCTCAGTGCAGATCCCCACTGCATTCGATAACAAGTATTGTGCTCGATCACCGGCTTCCCGCTCCAATCCCCTTTCAATCTCGGATTAAAATGAAGAATGCGAGGCGGATCCTCGCCCTCCACAGTCTTCAACCCTTGCAGTTCTATCATAAACTGCGTTACCATCACTGACTCATCCCCTTCTTTCAATACTGCAATTTTTGGATCATCCTCTGCATGCGCCCAATGCGGCATCCCGACAACCGTAATGTGGGATCCTAATGTTAACCCGCAGGGGATGACCATGACCCGGCCCCGGTTCACGAACTCCGACCCCGATAAGGTAATTGATTCTGGACATGATTCGGTTCGGTTTTTCATTTGATTTTTCTGGTCGGATTCTGAATTGGATTTGTTTTGAGCCGACTGGAGGTCGTCCCAGAGTTTCTTGCCGACAACGAAGGCGTGTAGCGCTGTTTTGTGGAGCACCGAGAACTCGTCCATAGAATCATTGGTGGCGAAAGAACTTTCGTTGAAAAGAAGACCCGACACAGTCTTGAACTCCGACATTCTCCGCGGAGGTGTCCGGCTTCCGGCTTGGTGGACGAGTTTCGGGTCATCGTCCGGCCGAGCAAGTGCCGATTTGTCGGTGAAGTCCTCTTCGCTCTCGAGAAACAAAGGTCTGAGCAATGCGTCAGTATAGGAACCCGCGGAACTAGTTTTGAAAACCAGCGGGATTTCGAAGCTCATGAACAGAAGGTAGAGGAACAAAAACCCCATCAAGAACTGAACCAGCCTAAGTCGACTCAGCGACACTAACGAGTCAAATTTTGCTCTCTTCATCGTTTACTTGAAAAGAAAAGGCGTTGGTTTCTGTGGGTTGGGTTTATGGAAATGGGTGAAGAGCTGAAACCCTATATTTGATTCGCAGAGAAGAGAGTAAACCAAGAGAATTTGGGTGTTTTTAGTTAAACGGAAAGCATTCCAAGAGCGAATAAGCTCTTCAAAAACAGAAACAAAGAGAGAGAAAGACTGAAAGAGTTTTAAAGTAGGGAAAAGGAATTTTTTTTAGGGACAAAATCTTCAAAATTTTCGCCCCCAAAAAAGCAAATAATTATCATATTTTTGTTTCCAAGTACCAACTTGCTGAAGTTTATGAAAAACAAAATGTTTTCTATTTTTATTTTTAAAAAATAATTTTCGTTTTCAATTTTTTTGAAAATTAAAATAACATTTTTAGTTGATATAAATGAAAAATCAAGTCCAAAAATAAAATAGTAAAAATGTATTTGGGATCTAATTTTTAAAAATAGAAATGAATAAATAATTATTAAAATTGAATTATAATTATTAAAAATTTCATTACATTAATTTAAAATGAAATTATGTAAAAATAAAATAATAAAGTTATATGAAATTCCTTAATATAAAATTTATTTTAGTTTATAATAAGAATATAAGGTTATTGTATATTGGACATCAATTAAATTTAAAAAATATACAAAAATATTATTATAAACAAGAGCACACAAAAGCGTAATTAAAATAAAAATACATTTAATGATAAATAAGACCCTCAAACTTTTAGGAAAAAATAATTATTGTAGCCCATGAACGTTTCTTACATTGAAAAATATAATCTAACCTTTTGAAAAATGGAATCAAACGTTATCTTTCACGACGCTTACATGATAACTCATAAACTTACATGACAATCTATAATATTGATGTGACAGATTATGATAATGTTGTGGTAATACACGATAGACGATGGCATAATTGATATTTTTAGAAATTTTGAGGACTTATTTATTTATTTAAAAAATAAAAAAATTATTTAAATTAAAGAGATAAAATATAAACAATTATTAAGATATTCAATACATTAAATATAAAAATATTACAAAATTAAATTATTAAAAAAATTAATTTAAAGACTATATTGAGTGTAAAAAAAGTTCATGAACCATATTGACTTTTTTTGTAAAAGTTTGAGGGTTTCATATACAATTAAATCAAAAAATTATTGTTAAAATAATTGAACCTCGTAACCTAAATTAAAAATCTAAATATCATGTTTTTTTATTTTTTAAAATTTTAAAATATTTTTAATGAAAACACTGTAAATATCTTTTTTATGTTTTTCATATTTTCATTTATTTTATTTTTCATTTTCTAGAAATCATTTTTTAATTTTACAACAAAATATATTTTCTTCAACATTTTCTATTTTCTAAAACAATAAAAATGAAAATAGCCTGTAATTTCTAAAATCAAGTGTTCTCTAATAATAACAATATCTCTTATTGGTGTGTCACTTTTTTTTTTTGATCGATGATGACACTAATTTTAATATTAGTTACCGACCGTAAGTATTCTTTATTGTCATTTTATTTTCTTATGCCACATTTTTATTTCTTTTTTATTATTTTCAATAAGTATGTTTATATGACACATTTGCATATGTCATTATAACACATTTTTTTATGTCTTTTGTCTGTTGTTTTTATTTATCTTTTTATAATGGTTGATTTGACATTGTCATCGTTGATCAATATGATACATATATGTTATCTTGTTGATTTGACGTCGCTCGAGTCTAATTTGTGATTTATCGGTGATTTTTTAGTAACTTGATATTTTTTTAGGTTCATTTGCTGATGTAATCATATTTATTTGTATATATCTAGATTTTTAATTTTTCCTTATATGATTCTTATGTGATATTAAGTGACTAATTTTTGTTTCCATAATTATAGATTTTTTTAATTATATGCTTAATTTATAATTATAATTGTAAATGGTTACAGTTATTTAAAATATTTCTTATATTTAATAATGTTAACTGATTCTATAAAAAAAGAACAGTTATCCTCGACTATTAGAGTTGTTTAATTCATACACATATAAATTTATTTAAAATAATAATCCTTCAATCTAATTTGTTTTATTTATAAAATTTTAAAATAACTTTTCAAACACAGGAGAGGATTCCATGCCACGTTCTGAAAACAGTGGTCTACGAGTGCAGTGAACATGAAGTATTCAGCGGTCAGAAATAATAATCAAACAAATACCATAGAATTTTTCTTTCTAGTTGAATAAATTAAATATTGAAAGCTTTATTTTAGAAAAATAAAAGAGAAATAATTAAAATTTATTTAAATTGGGGTCTCTTTTTATCTCATACAATGAATTGTTTATCCAGCTCATTTGGTTAGAACGCAAGGCTCTTAATCTTGTGGTCGTGGGATCAAGTCTTACGGTGGGCAATTCAAAATTCTAACTGCTGGAGGTCTCCTTACTCTAAACTTGATGTTGGAGGCAGCCTACTATCCTACCTCCCCTTACCTTATTACACATGGGAGTAGAGTTAGCTAATTTTTTTTATCTCGTACAATAAATTAATTTTGGATCTTCAGTTGATTTTGTTGGTGAGTATCTTTAAATATTGTATTTTATTAGTTAAATACTAGATGAAACTAAATGCTAATTAATATGTTTGATATAAAAAATAATCCATTTAATTAATTAAAATTACACTTCGGAGGAAAAGTGATTGAAATTGAAAAGGAGACCGTTGAGGGAAGGGTAGGGACATTTGGTAGGTGGAGGTTTTAATCGTTTGAAATGTCTGTTTCTCCTTTTTCTTTTCGGATCTTAGTAATCAACGAGGCATAACAAAATAAAATATCATTATGTATTAAAATTAATAAAATATCCTTCTCGCTTATACAGTTTGACAATTTTTTTTATTAATCTGAAGTAAATATAAGATATTATATGTTTAAAGATAATTCTCAAACTTTTGATATTGAACGCTCATACTCTTTACATTATTGGAGTTCGAATCTAATACCTGAAGGAATAACAATTATTTTACCAGAGTCTACGAGGATGTGCTCTGTAATGTTGAATCTGTTCTTCACCCGAGTCTCTTCTCGGCCAACCATTCTCCCCAACCGTAAGGACACCTTCTGCAAGGAGCGACATCGGTGCAAAAACGACTCAATAGCTCCTTCCTTCTACGGATTGGTTCTATGTCAACACAAATGACACGGTTGGCACGATGGGCAATGCCTCAACTGGAGGTGTGATCCGGGACCACCTTAGAAATTTTCCCACTAACTTTAACAAGAACATCGGTATTATTTATGTCATTATGGCTGAACTTTGGGGGTGCTTTAGAAGGGTTTAGACTTGTTTGGACTCGTAGCTTTGAGAAAATTCAACTACAACTGGACAATTCAGATGCTCTCCACCTCACTGAAAATGCATCCTTTTACAGCCCCTATGCTATAGTTCGAGATATTGTGATTTTGCTCAACTGAGCTTGGTGTGTGATCCTCAAACTTATCCAAGGAGAAGCTAATATGGTTGTAGATCTCCTTGCTAAGACTGATGGGAAAAACTTCGGCCACCTTATTCTATTTGACTCTCCACAACGGCGTAAATCGATGCCCTCTTTCTGTGTGACATCATGGGTTCTCCTTATGCCCGTCTAGGATATACCTAAACTGTTTGTATAAGCTCCTTCTACTCAATTTTTTTAATAAATTTATATATTATATTAAGAATATTGGTTTTATGTATTAGATTTGTTAAAAACGAATGGTATATTGAAAAATAACAAATTTAAGTGTTATATTAAAACAAACATATTTAAATATCAAATTGAAATAAAAAAATGGTAAATTTAAGTATATATATTATTTGTAATAATAAATTCAAGTATATATTAAGCCTTTGAGCAAGAGAACAAAGTAAAAGAAAAAAAGGAAAAAGAAGCATTTAAAAGGGGAGTTGGAAGCGTGTGGTTGGCATCTGAGTGGAAACACATAAAGCAGGACAAAACCGGAAAGATTTGTGACTGAAAATAGCCGCTAATCTTTTTGGCATTTTTCACTAACAATCATTATCCCACTTGTAAACTCGTAACTAATTTTAATAACTGATATAATAGTATTTTAATCTTAAAATTTATATGTATTTTGATGATAAATTTTTAATTTAAAATAATTCATCAATTTTACTTATCATTTTAAAATCACGATACTTGTCACACCCCATTTTTAAATTAAAAATTATAAGATTAATTTAGTTGATTTATGGACTAAATTACAAGTTCCAGAAGCTTGTGGCTAGGTTTTGAACCTGTAGGAAGTTCAGAGATTTAACCCTGAATTTTTTATTTTTTTGATAAGTAGAAAAAAAGCTGTAATCACAGGGTTTTAAAGCCCTGTCCCTATGTATGATTGTCCATCTCCTTACCAACTAGGCTAAGCCACTATTGTGATAATAATAATAAAAATAGTTTTTTTGTTAATTTGGCTTGGGTTATAACCCAACACCATCCCTATTCCAAAACCAATTACCCAAATCCCCAATTTCCTAAAACCCCTCAATCCATAATCTCACCGTTGGCCCTCACCAATCCACAATCGCCCTACCGTCACAGTTTACACCGCTGCCAGCATCCGACTCGCCATCGTCTGGCGACCGAAACCTAACCACCATCACGGCGAGAGACGCCGACGTTCGTCGCGAATCGATGCTCGAGCATGCGTCGAGATAAACCATCGGCCACCTCGATTTTTTGCGTTTTCGGCCAAACCTGTCACCGATGAGCCTCGCCGCCCACACCGAGTGAACCATCTCATTGTTTCGCTTATTTGGATTTCGATCGTGTTGTCGTCGCTGTCGCGGTGGAAGAGATCGGAGAGAGAGGAGTTCGATCATTCGAGAAGGCTTTTTTTCAACATCTTTCCCCGCTAACCGCCGTGAAACAATGCTTGCACGAGACTACAGGGCCAATGATCTATTGATTTGGAAGTTTTTGTCGCTGTTCAATGACCAGAGTTTGTCAGCCTGGGGAATGTGCTGGCCGATTGAACCGGTATGGAACGAACTGCCTGGATTGAGACGAGTTGCCTGGATCGAGTCGAGCCTGGGTGAGCCGTTA